TAAAATATAACAAATCAACAACAAATACACAAGAAACATAAGCTAACAAACTGAGTGATAGAAACAGAAAGAACAAAACAAGATACAAAATATCATACAGGAGATTATCTGTGTCTGATGTAGCTCTCTAGCAGAGAAGAACTGTTATGGAGAAACAGCACCAGCTAGTGGCAGAAGAAGAAACATGTCTTGGAATAAAGAGACACCAGATTTGAAGTTCTCTGCCTAAAAAAAAATATCAATCTGTAGGCATTATGTACACAAATATAAACAATCGCAGGTGAGCTTCTTTCAAAAGAATGAAGGAAGGAACAATCTGTAAGATATCTAGTGAATTAAATCCTAAACTGACCTTACTGTATCATCAGACATTAAAGGAAACATGCTGAAGCGCTGGTTTATCTGACAACAACGCAGCAGTCAGTATGTCCTCCTTCTAAAGGAAAGGTGTGACAAACAAGACACAGGTGACACTGGAGAGGGCAATCCAAGAGGAGGGAAACACAAGGGCAGGAAGTAAAACTCAACATGCAACACTGGGGACAAGACCTACAAAGTAAAACAGGAAACACTAAAGGCCAACTGAGTACTCAGGAATATGACAGTTAACAAGAAGTTAGAGAGACAAAGGAAGGAAATGACAAAATAAATCAGGAAGCAATCTCAGATTAACAAAATAAAATACAATTGCCACTAATGGTGGCCTAAGACTTTTACACATTTTTGCATGTGTGACGGCAGCCTGTTAGGTTGCTGCCTTCTCTTCTCTTGTGTTGCAGGTACGTGCAGTTGGTAGGCGTGGCCTGACTGAGAGCGCTCCGGGCCCGATGCTCACAGTCACAATACCATCTTAGTCTGCTAAAAGAGACTTCCTGCATGTGCCTTATTTGGTTACTTAATCCTCCTTCTCCATCCAACAATCTAATTTATGTTTTTGTAAATAAGTCAGTTTAATTAAATGTTATTTTGGTGTCTCTCTGAGCCCGTCATATAAGCAAAAACCCTAAACACTGATTTAAGGGGACCTTTAAAGTAAAAAGTTAAATCGCAGTCATGTATTCCTCAGTAGGTTTTAGATTACAATGAATGAACACGATGATGACTACTGTAATGTGAAGCTGAAACGACCTCCATAAGCTCCATTAAGTCGTCACAGTCCTGGGAGAATTGTAAACTCAACATCGATAACATCAATAAAAGCTCTCACCGTCTTTGGGGATGAATGAAAAAAAGAAACTCACCCCCTCCCCTCTCTCTCTCTCTCTCTCTCTCTTTCTCTCCCTCTGGGACAGGATGAAAAAAGGTCTCAGCTCTTCCCTTCATCCATCCCCCTCCTCTTGTCTCATCCAGTTATGCATGTGAGCAGGCACAGCGAGGAGGGCTTTTTTACACTCTCTTTGTCACTACGGAAACAGGCCTGTCAATTTGGCAAATGGTGCTTCCAGTTCAGGGCTTCTGGTTGGAGGGGAGCAGTATATCTCTGACACTGCAACACAATTAAGACTCTCTGTTTTTGTTCACAGAGAGGGAGAGAACAGGAAGACCTTTACATTACCTGATACAACAGCAGCATGATTCATAATTCCAGATGCTTATTAACACATTTAATCCTGCTTCTTCTCCATCAACAACATATCAAGAGCATGTTTCCTCCCATACTTATCCCCCCCCCCATCCTCCTCCTCCTCCTCCTCGGAGTAGTTGCTGAGTCAGTGCAGTGCGCCTGAATGACTCCTATTGATTGACTGATTGCGTGCAGCGTCACTCAGAGATGACTCACCTCATTTCCCCTCCATCCTTCTCCGCGCTCACATCTCCTCGTCCTCTCCTGGGAGCGCACGTGGCCTCATCTGGAGCCCACATGCTGTAATGACCCCGCGTCAATAAATTGAAGTTGCAAATGAGGGCGGGTGCTCGCACACGTTCATCACAGGCATCAGTTAAATAAGTTGACATATGGCTGTGGGGGAGGAAAATGGTAATCTCCCCGTCTTTGTGGAAAGATTAGTAGGATGATCAAGGGGGATCGAGTCGAGTCTGTTTCTAATGTGGTGTTACTGATTAGCTGATGACCAGCAGGAGAGGAGAGCAAGCTGCAGAGCTGCAGAGCTGCATATGTTTCTACAGCTTAAATGATGCAGTAGGGGAGACCGGGGACGACTGTAACAATGTGTAGTGTGGATGTCTTAACTCTGAAATCTCATGGACGATTTGGATTCAATTTTCACAATGCTTACTTGTATCTTTGTTCTACTTGTTAACAGTCATAAAATGTTTTTATAAGCAATGTACTGGTGTTCTCACATATGCACATGTTTTGTGCAGGCATGCTGTTCCAAGTTTGACTCTTTAGTGAAGATTAAACCTGCTTATAAAATATTTAAAATTACAAACTGTCCTTGAAAAACGTTTAGATTTCCTCCACATAGCATCACTTAATTTAACATCAAGGGTTCACTTATGGCAGGGTCAGAAGACCCGATCTTTTCGTCTGTTACCATGGTCACTGTGTCAGATAAGGCGATCACAGAGCCACAAATTCATGCCGTGACTTGACCCGACAGAAGCAGAGTAGAATTTTCTTCACCAACTACCAAGGTGCATGAAGAGTGAAAGAGGTCAAAATGCTCCAGCAACATTTTTAGTATGAAGATCAACTCCCGCTCTGCTTCTTCAGTACTTTGCAATTCTGAGACTCTGAGACCACATCAGCATTATCCAGTCTCTCACTTGGATGACCACGATGAAGGCCACAAGCCGAAACGCGGGACTGGGCCAACAGACATGACATGACAGGCTACAAGGTGGTAACCGACCAATCATCACGACCGACGTGATGACTTAGGAAGAAAAGAAGGGAAGACTGCAAACAAAACAAAAAAACCCTTGTGTTGCCAGAGATCATCAAAATGTTCCTCCGTCTCAAAGTTCCATCTTGCAGCAGCAATTTCATCATTCTCTTTTTGCGTCACCATTTTTTTTTTGTTTGCGCTGGTGACCTTTGCGCCTGCAGAGTGCTCTGTGCTCTCATTGGTCAAAGTCACTGACTTGTCGGAACAAATCATAAAAAGAAAAACCTGCTAGAGCTTCTGAGTCTGACCTTGACATTTGTCCTTAAGCGAGCGAGGGATCATCACAGACCAGGCGCATTATCTTATTCCTGATTGGTGCACATGTTACAAGGCCCCCAGTCTCCCCTACAACACTTAACATTTTAACCCAAACTAGGTGATACTTTGTTTCCAAAATGTTTATTAAATTAAGACGCACAAGAGATCCAGTCAGACACTGTGTCTTTAGGTCAAATCAAAAGCACAGGACTTCCCCCCAGCGGGTTCACAGCTCTTACTGAGAACAAGCCTTCATTGACTGCACTTCAACATCCTGGCATTTCTCCAGGGCAGGAAGTTCTCTTCCTGATCTTCAGTGACCTCTGCATGCCTTTCACAGCAGACACACCGCCGTGCCACAATGCTTTTCTGAGGCAGCTCCTGGTTTGAGTGTGAAAGAGATCGACTCGTAGCTCGACTCGTAGCTCGGGGCGGAGAGGAAGAGTCACTTAAATGATTCTGACAGTCACTTTTTCTCCAGGTCTGCCTGTGATTTACACACACGTGACAGGTATGCAAGTATTAAGTGTCATCAACCTCGTACAGTTAAATGATGACACAAAGCAAAGACTTACTTTAGCTTGTTTTAAATTTAAAAAAAAGAAACAATACAAATCACATTAAGATAATTTAAAAAGTCCAAGTTCGGGTGTCGGAAACCTGAAACAGTTTCAACCGAGTCAACCTTCACTACCTACTCCTAATTTCTCCCAGTGGTCATTATTGTTCTAAATATATTGTTTTTTTCACACACGGTCTCTCTTTAAAGAAGACTTTAAATCTTGTGTTATGTGAAATACAATTGTGCTTTCTGAAATGTCCTTTTTTCTCTCAGGGCCACCGTACTTATTTAAAAATAAATCAGATGTCGTGTGATTTTGCTGAAAGAATCCATGCAGTTATGAGTCTCATGTTTTGTAGTTATGTTACATTGCTCCCCCTCCTCTCTCTCCGCCTGTCTCATCTGAATATGAGACAGGCACGTTGGTTTCCATTTTGAAAAGCTTGCTGGCCGCAGATATTTAATGGGCCGAGGCTCGTCACCCCCACGTCAAGAGTTGTGTGTCTTTTGTGGATAGTTATGATTGTTTATCTTTTTGATTTAAAATTAAAAATTTGTATGAAGTTTGGATTTGTTACTTTTTCCGGCCTCTATTCTAGACTCTGTTGGGGCCCGAGGCAAAAATCAATTGGGGGGGGCCCTGTGACCGCCCCCCTCCAACCAGTGTTCAGCAGGGCAACGAGAGTGAGTGCAGTCAGATGGGGCTATTAGGGCCCCCTTAGGAAGTTTGCAAAAATTTGCACATTTTCCACCGCTGCTTTGGGCCCCCCCTAAACTAAACTAACAAACTAAACTGATATAAAAACAACCAGATAAAAACTAATGAAAAATCCTAAACTACAGTATTTAGGATGGGTGAATCTCTAAATGAAACTATCCTATAACGTGTTCCTCCTGCTGCTTAAAGAGGTGAATAAGCTCACAGACGAACGTCCATATAAGGACGTCTCTGTGGATGTGGGAGTGACGTCGTTTCATAGGTAACATTACATCATCTGGAGGAAATGTCTTCACCTGCCTAACCCAACTTTGTTTGAACAATCCAACAAAAAACTGTGAACAAAAGGAAAACTCTTCTCCTAAAGCAGACAGACAAAGAGTCAAATATCCTGAAAGAGACGTCATGAAAAGATCGAGCACTTTCTCTTTTGGCAGAATACGAGGCAGCTTTTGGGATTATTTAGGCTCGGCAGGTTTTCCAGTTGGTAGAGCCCGCCTCCGCTCTCAATCTTTAGTCCTCAAATTCACATTCAGCTCCATTTGATGAGCCACACCAGCACGGTTACTACACACGTTTTACTTTAGAAAACAGAATCAGCCACAGCAAATTCATATCAATCTTTATTGTATTTAGAAATCCACGCATCAAATCTTTTTATGTATTTTTTTCCTTTACCATTTACAACAGGGGAAGAATGAGGGACAAGCTAAACGTCATGCCTTTCCCAGCAGGCGCGATGCACTACAGGATGGGCTGAAATGGAAGGTGTGTGTGTGGGGGGGGGGGGGGAGGAGGAGGGGCAGAGAGAGATACATAAAGTGCTTTTGTCAACAGTTTTCTTTTTTTTTTAATAGAAAATAGGATCAAAACAAAAAGGTCTGAGGGTGGAGGGACAGGACGCAGGGGTCCATGGACGTGACAGCATGTGAGGGCGGTGAAGAAGGGAAGAAGGTGACGGGGGGCCATGAGGAGGGAAAGAGTGGTGGGGGGGGCTTTTATCTTTAAAAAATAAAAAAAGCGTTTGAATGAAAAACAAAAAAAAATTAAAATAGAAGTGGTCTCAACCCAGGATGAGGCTGGACTTGCCACCGGGGGGGTTTCTTCGGCCCCCTGCGGCGGCGGCGGCGGCGTTGGCACCTCCCGACGGGGCAGAGGGCTGTGGCGTCTCCTTCTGCTGCTCCTGATCCTCCTGCTCTGCATTGTCAGGACACTCTGCAGACACAGGACAACTCATTGACCCTGAACATTTTACAGTCACACATTAGTTATGTTACTGAAGAAGGGTGACACGGGGGCGTCTCATAGCCTAGCGGTGAAGTTAAGCACCCAATGTACGGACGCTATAGTCCTCATCACAGCAGCCGTGGGTTTGAATCCGATCCGGGCCTTGTGCTGCACGTCATCCCTCCTTTCTCTCCTCCCAACATGCCCTGTCTCAGCTGTCCGAGCTAACCATCCATCCATCCATTTTCTATACCACTTTTCCCAGAGGGCTGGAGCCGATCCCAGCTGTCATTGGGCGAGAGGCGGGCTACACCCTGGACTGTCCACCAATCAATCACAGAGCTGACATACAGAGACAGACAACTGAATGACAGACAGCAAATTTTAGAGTCACCAGTTAACCTAACGAGCATGTCTTTGGACTGTGGGAGGAAGCCGGAGAAAACCCATGCATTAATAATATCTGAAAAAGCGTTATTGGTTAATCCAGAGCTAGCAGTGTTTTTTGTCTTCCTGCTTCGGTAGCGTCCGTGTAATGAACTTTAAAGGTTTATTTTTGGGCTTTTCATGCCTTTGTTTTAAAGATAGGACAGTGGAGTAGAGTCAGAGAGAGTGATGAATGACGTGCATTAAAAGGAGCCACAGGTCAGATTGGAAACCCGGGCCGCCCACTTGGAGGACTTTAGCCTCTGTACATGGGACGCGTTGACACAAACCACCTCACTACTGGCGCCCCAAAGCCATGAATTTTAGACTCTAGTGACAGCTTCTGGGTTTTTGGCAGGTAGAGCACTTAGTTGAGGTTATCCAGGTCTGATATAAAATCACAGAGCTGCAGCAGTGGGCTCTCATTGTCCATTAGCGGTTGAATTATTTCAGAATGAGCGAACTGGAGGAGACTTTATGACGTAAATGTCACAGAGAAGAGCAACAGTTTCGGGTTTTTTTCCCACATATTTGAATTTTTTTCCGGTATCAAACGTTCCGGACGGCTGCAGAGAGAATAGTTTTAAGTTCTGAGTTTGTACGACTGGCGCCACAGATACTAGGACAGCACAGTCTCCTGCTTGTTGTGCATCCAGACACTCACATGTTAAACTCTCTGGTTAATATTTTCTGCAGCTTTTGCTCCTGTTTTTTTTTTTCCCAGGTGCCACTGTCCTCTTTGTACAAACATTTAATTGAGGGCTGTGCAAATTAGAGGAGACATGTTCTCTGATTTATGTATTCAGCTGGATTTACTGAGGTCACACGTTTGGGACTTACAGACACGCAGGGGAAATTCTCCCCTGCTAAAGAGGAGACACACACACACCACACATTAGATCTACTACAAGCACATAAAAGGTTGGAATTAAAGCAGGCTTTTAAACCAATAAAGAATAACTCAATGAAGCTCTTCAGCTTTTTATGGAAGAGGGACAATATTGGATTATCATGACGAAAGCAGACTGTGGTCGGATGTTGTGGTTTGTGTTCATTCAAGTAAATTTGAGCTTCAATCAATGAGTTGTCTAATCATATCACTTCATCTCCTTGTAGTTTCACATGAATACGTTGTTGTACAGATATTCTCTCAGGTGGCAAACATTAGAAATGAGACTTGATCGTTGCAAGCTATCTGCAAGCTTCCTCATATCTGTCCTGCTGGTTGGGCACCAGACACACGATCTGACTGCGCAGTGAGCTGCTTCCTTTGTCATTCAGACTCCGATTCTGCGACCACTCAGACCCGGTGAAACAGCACACGTTGAATTAAAGCATTTCTTTAAGTCAATCTGGCCACTATCACCGCTTTCAACAGCTGAAGGCTCGATTTTTTTTGCCTCGCCATCGTTGAGAAATGTTTTTTTTTGTGTGTATTTTTAATAGTGGTGAAACAACAACAGCATTCTGAAGTCTGTTGCTGTTAAAAAACCTTGTTACAGCTGAGTTCGCTTTAAAAAAAACAGAAGCTGTAGTTCCTAAACACACAAATTCCATCACACACAACTGCTAAATGATCTCTGTGTGTGTGTGTGTGTGTGTGTGTGTGTGTGTGTGTGTGTGTGTGTGTATGGGAACACAATACAGTGTTCAACATCCTCGAAGCTCAAACAAGAAAAAAAGATCACATAAAACATCATTTTTTTTGGACTTTGGTAGATTACAGCAAACTTGTTGTCAGTGAGATTTCTATTCAGAGTTTGTGAAGTTGATGATGGGGGGGGGGGGGGGGAGTAAGATTACAAATGTTTGTTTTTTGGTTGATATGAAAAAACGACCAGATCTGTGACAAACATCCGTGATCCAATCTGAATTGTGGGTCGTGGGATTTGTGACCCATTACACCACTGACTTAGTACACATGCATTCTGATTACATTGAATACCAGGGACAATGAGTGAGCTTTAATTTGTAAACGTTCATAGAAAACATACTGTAGGTCAAACCCTCCATTATCCGAGGAGCCAGCTGCTCTCACACAAACACGCACCTGGACGTCAATAAAAAGCTTTTCATACCTGCCATCACAGGACAGCTGCCTGACTACAGAGCAGGCGGCCATTATGATGACAGGGAAACCCCCTACATCAAAGGGATCATGTGATGTTGACTCAGAGAGGGGGAACATGTGTACTGTGTCTTTAAGAAAAAAGGTTACTTCTGGTATGCCAGCAGAATGAGAGACGGGGGAAAGTGAAGTGTACCATGGAGCTGTCCACTGATAAGTCATTCTCTGCTCGTTTAGACGCAGTGAGAATGGGACGGACTCTTTCAAAGCATCTTTAGAAACAACTGAAGAGTTCGGGAAACTCACCATCATTTGCTGGTTCTTGGCCGTTTTCAACCTACAAAGAAAAAAAAAAGACAAATATATCAGATCTCTTGACTTTGACACACAACTTGTTACCACACAGTAATGTTCATGTTCAGCAACTTATTGCTTTATTTCTTGTATTAGAGTTTCTGTTATGCTGCATTCAGGTGCTCCTCTGATGGTCCCAGTTTCAGAGTTGGGAAGTCGTTCTTCTGACTTCAGTGTGTTCACTTGATTTCAGTTTGGAAAGTTTGAATGTTGTAACAACAGCAAAAAAAGTGTTGATGCTACGAAGAAGATGTGTGAATGTCTCTGTTATGGGTTATATTTTAGCAAGAAGCTGATTTGCAATACGAGAATAAATAAAAAGTATCTTAACATCTAACTAACTAACCCTAACCTGAACACAACATATTTTGTTATGAAGAATATGACGTCAAGTCGACAAGTCGGGCACCTCATTTTTTCCAGAATTTCCGAGTTGTTGTTACGATTTGAGCAGGCGTTCATGTGCATTTTGCAACTCGGAAACTAATTTTTCCCGATGTGTCCGACACCACATGAATGCACCATTAGTCCAATAGATATCTAGTGTCTCTGTGTCTTAACACCTCAATCAAACATTATCACCCCAGTACGCCGTGTGGACTGACAGATTCCCAGAGTAAACATTAAACCTCCACATGGATTACAGTGGAGAATATCATGCTGGGTCTGATTCAAATGGATGGATAAAGTCATCCATCCCCCCATGATTTTTTTTTTTTCCACTGAACTGTTTGGATTTAAACTTAATCTATGACCATGTGCTCTTTTAGCTCTACACTGGTCCTCAGCTCTGTTTTGGAAACAGAGTCTGTCTGTCCAAAAGAGACGTACCTCTTTGTTCTGGCTCCACACCAGGGCTGCTCCAGAGTTGTGGATGGTGGTCAGTTCCGGCTCGGGGTTTTTGGGGAAGAGAAGAGGCTGCTGGCACCGCCTGAGGGGGGCAGAGGGCTCCCCGCACAGGGTTCCTGTGGGTGCCCCGGCTGGGAAGAGACAAGTAAGAGACAAGGATACAAAGTGAGACTGAGGGAACGAGTCAGGAAGTGATTGAAACATCATTTCTTAGAGTATCCCTTAAATCATTCATATTACTAGAATCTGTAAAACATGAACTGAAAAGTTTTGTAAACAGATAATCCATCATATTGTATTTGAATTCTCAACATTTTTTATGATTAAGATATTCACATGTTGACAAGCGGAGCATTGAAGTCCTCATGAAGCGGAACTTCAACGGGTTGGAACCAATCACAAGATAGGAGGCGGGACATAACATTGGTATGAATTTGATTGGGCGTTAGCTTTGACAAAGCTTTTTAATTAGTCGGAAAAAATAAAGTAAACACCCCTGAGTGCAGGATGAGTCATCAGACATTTTAAATGTTTTACAGGAATAATTTGACCCTCAGATGTCAAATATTACAAACATCTGTACAAGCTGAAGTTTGTGTATTTTTTAAAGTAAGGCTTTATATGTGATTTTTTTGATCCAGCAGATGTCACCCTTGAGCACCAGCATGAAACCAAAACAACTCGCGCTGCATTGTTGTGTTAGCATGCTAATTATTCGGGTAAATTACCTGAAATGAGCATGATCTAGAAACACAGTTAAGCAGTGAGTACAGTATGTTATTCTTCTTTTCTCTAGTCCCTCAATTAAACAACTTTATACACGAGGAGGAGCCATCCTGAAGATAAGACTCTCAAAACTCTGAAAACAGCACAGACAGTGGGACTCGGGTGTTACACCCATTGTAGACAGTCATGACTCACAGAGTTATTTTCAGAGGATATACTTGATTTATATTATATTTAAGTGTGAAAACTCGCATATAAAGCCATTAAGTATTACACTTTATGTTTTAAAACATTTGAAAAATAATCATGCATGGGTTTTTAAGTAATGAAACAGGACGCTGTCATCAATGACAATGGAGCGGGCTGACTTGAAAGAGGGACCTTTCTGCTCCCAGTTACAGAGAGAAAGACGTCTCTAACTTTTACAGCTAAGTGTTTTAAATCGATGTAAACAGGGTCGAGTTAAACCCATAGAGGTTTGTTTTTAACACTAGCCATCATGACTGCTTTATTTTTTCTCCCTGTCCAGCCGATAGATTACACTGAAGTTAGACAGGAAACACTAGAGACATATGACAAAACATGACTCAGACTTCAGAGCATGGAGTCATGCCATGTGGACGCTAATCCAATTAGTCACCCCAGGCCCAAATGTTTCAAATCCATGAGGCAACTGTGCTAACCACAAGATTCATCTTCTCAGATTTAACAAAACATCAGCTTTAGGAGGGACTTTGACTGAAATAACACGACACAAAAATCGCTGAGAAACAACAGGAGACATCATCAAATCCGCTTGGGCGTCTGCTACAGACCCAGAAACACAGTGGAACACTTCCAGGCAGACGACCTGGGTGCCAAAACTCACATAACGCTGTAGCGCCGGCGTTCTCCTTTAGCAGAAAGAGCATTAAAACACAGAGCTTGGCCCGCAGCGAGAAAGCAGGCTGTGCTAACTAAAGCCACATAAGGTAACAGCTCTCACTGCAGCTCCAGCTCAGAGGGCTGAGGGGGGGGGGCACAGACAGGCCGTCTTTGTCATGAGGGGAACAACGGCGGCTGAGGAAGTGGATGAGTGTCTATTGTTTTTAATGGAGTGAAGTGAGCCAGCCCAGTAGAGAGCTTCGATCATGCTACAAGAGCTCCTTCATTACTGGCTCCACATTTCTGAGGCTGATCACTTCTCTGGGTAGTGGGCAACAAATGGGAAATGGAAGAGGATTAAACCCGAGTCACAGGCCAGACTGATGCATTACATTATCATCACTCCAGCATCATAGCCTTCTACTTAACCTTACAGCCCTCCTGGGTGCATGATGTTGTACTGTGTATCTATGAGAACGCCGCTGACCTCACAGGCAAACAGGCCCGAGGACAGGAAGAGCAATCATGCTGCTGCTGCTAGTCTTGGCGTCCTCTCTGATTACAGAGTGCTCGCCATGTGGGCAGAAGCTGAGGGCACCCGAACAAGCCAACAACTCTGGAATCCGAACGCCTGAAAAAATCCCGACGAGGACAGCGCGCTTTGTGAAGAGCAATATGATCATCATAATACCAGCACAACACAGAACACAGAGTAGAAGATTTTTTAATTTTAACCATCTAAAATAAGCTTCACATCAGGAGTAGTGTCTCAATAAAACGTACAATCCTCCAGTGGATGCGTTTTGAGAGTTGACTCGTGCACGTTAAGGGGTAGAGAGCGAGCAGGGAGACAGGGTGGCGTGTGATTGGTTCATCAGATTGGAACCTCGTGGCGGACATAGGTTTACAACGGCTACAGATGACGGATTATCTTCGTTCCTTTTGCAGAGCACGAGCTATTAATTTCATGTAAGACAATTTCAACCAAAATCCGGAGAAAATTACCAACCCTGCCTTTAATGTATAGGTTTATATTTGTAATTTAATGTATAATGAAGACAAGAGTTAGGAGTGTTAACTTCCATTAAGTTGTGTTCTTTTCCAGTAATGTGGAGTTTCAGTTTGTGTTTTAGGAGGTAACAGGAGCTCCTCCTGTCGCTGAACCGCAAGTCTGGGAATGTTTGTATTTGCAACTGACTGAAATGGACGACTGAAACAATGAACTCAAGTTTTCACCTAGCAACCTCACATCCAACTGTCGAGGCCAACCTGCTCCTTTGAGCACGAGGCAGCCTCAACAGAGACACCTGAGGATGGAGCAAACAGTCAGCCAGAAAGGAATGACTGAAGCCTTTTGCAGGAGTTTCAAATAATGCTCTGAGAGAAACAGGCAGAAACGAGTTTGCAGCTGTTGTAATATTTACTTGATGAGCTGGTCACATGAAGCCCATCATTAAAGAACTCAAATCTGTGTAAAGTATGCTTCTGCTGCTGCGGTGTTAGTCCACCCTAAAGCCTTGCCTAGTCTTTCAGTTTATTGTTTCACTTTTTCAAACTCATGAAAAACGTTCTCATTTGATACACTGAGGTTTTAAGATGTAAGTTTTTTTTTTTTTTTTTCCACTTGACATGAATACGATTCAAATTGAAATATGATCCAGTTTCCATGGCACTGAGAGATGACACTTTTAAAACAAGACAACATGTCTTTCCAGAACTAATGTCCCTTTAATTCTAGATAAACCCCAGAGATTGGACTGTAAACAATCAGAGATGGGAAGTCCTTATTAAACTGGAACTTCAGTGAGCTCTATGGATAATTCCAAGTAAGTCTGAGGTCAAGCTGAGAATTAGATATTTGAATTCTTAATGGCCACAAACTACAGTGAAAGCCCTGTACAAACTGTTAGTGCCCGATCACACAGACACTGGTTGATATAACAGCGTCGCCAGCAAAACCAGTGTGTTTCCATATGGCGCTCTTCTCTGCTGCGTAACGCCTTTTTCTAGCGGTTTCTGGGCGTGCACAAAAGTTAAAACATTTTCAACTCATACCCGGAATCGCAGTGCTCGTCACTGTCACAGATCAAATCAAGTAGGAGGATTTACCAACGCTTTTTAAGACATCCCCCCCCCCCTCCCTCCTCCTCGTCTAGGAGCAAAACATTGGAGAGAGCTCTACCTTTGGTCAAATCCATTTTTTACCATTTATTTTATTTGGTCGCCTGTATGCGCAAGAAGCCCCGCTCAGCAGGTGTTTCCAGCTGTTTTTTTCCCTGCAGGCACTCAGGCGTTTTTTGAGCGGCTACACCTAGCGTGACGCGTCTCAGTGTGATCGGGCTCTTAGACGATCATGAAACTGAAGCCTTCCCAGTGGACTTACATGTGTACGACTCAAAGGGAAAAGTCTTACTGCATACATAGTGGGACCTTTGTGTGCAAAATATAGCAAAACACTTTTTCATTATAAAAGAGCTTAAAGCTGTAACGAGTCTCGGATATAAATATCTCCTGTAGGACAGCGTTGGTAACAGAGTGCACATTGTTTGAAGATTGAAGAGGCTTACATTGAGAATAGAAAATGTGGATTTGAAAAAAGGAACTACACAAGAGGGCATGCCAAGGTAAACAACCCGGCTCATTTACACCGGGTGGTCATCCCCGGGTCAGTCCGATCGCACAATGCTTATGAAAGCTGTTATAGAAAATAAACCTTCAGAATGGCATATCCTCATCCAGCTGTATCCAGTGAAGTGGTTCAACTATGAAAGCTTCCCCCCCAAAACTTGACCGTGACCCAAGAGAAACAATGCAAGCAGGAAGAGGCTGCACTGTCTGCAGCTGCCGTCTGCAGAGGTCACAGGCTGAAGAGAGGATTTTAAGGTAGATTCTTCATTGGCCACACACTCAGGAAATCTGATACACCATGTAACTGGTTTCCTACAAAACGGTCAGTGTGGAAGCATGTGATCCCCCTGTGGGTGACTTCACGGCCTCGAGTTGAAATTAAATCTGTTTGCTGCAGGGCTTGAATTGTATTCTTTGTTTGTGCTACACTTTTAAATATCTCAGCTTTAAAAGCCCCCAGAGGAAATGGAGCTCCAAACAGCAAAAATGCACACATAATATTAAAGTTCAGACTCATGAAGCATCCGCAAATATCTGAGTGGAAACAAAAGTGAATGACAATAAGAAAGAGTCGTTTTTAAAGAACAGCTTCTTTTGCTGTTTGGATCATTTCTCAAGACTGTGTCTGCATGGCTGATCTCATTTTGATTGACATCCACAATGCTCCGCCCACAACAACAGTGAATGTGACAATCAGGAGTTTGCATCCCCCCGATACAATTTGTTCAAAGGTTTAAAAAATACAATAAAATCCCTTTTTTATTTACATGAATAGTATCGAAAAGTAACTACTCTTAAATCAGTTCTTCAATGTTTAACCAAAAGCTGCAGCGAGTGAAAGATAGAGAGCTCTTTCTAAACTGCACAAATATGTTGGCAATGCATTTTTGCACTTTAGACAGTGTGCAGGAGTTTGCCTGCATTTTCAGTAATAAAAAACAAGATATTAGGGGCATCAGTTGGCCTAGTGATAAGTTTTAGAGCCCCATGTACAGTCGCTGAAATCCTTAAGGCAGGCTGCTTGGTTTTGATTCTAACATGCGGCACCTTTCCTGCTCGTCATTCCTTACTCTCTCTCTCTGGTTTCTTACTCACTCCACTGTCTTATCAAAGCAAAGACTAAAGTTAGCTGAGTTTAAAATTCTGGCAATAAGACAACTCTAGTATGTTTGTTTGAGTCGTTAAGGATTTACAGGAGCAAGAAAAAGTAGCGCAGTAGATAATATTCATTTCAATTGGTCACTCAATGGTCACTTTGCTCTCCATGTCAGAGTCAACAGTTGGCATGAAAAGTTAGAGGCTCACATTTCCCAAAGCTATGAACTCAATGTTTAATGATAGCTTTAGAGTGTTAGCCAGTGCTGTATTTATAATGAGCTAATGTTGACCCACTGATACACAAGCTGCTTTAACCTGAACATCCACGTCCTCAACTGAACATCCGCAACCCAAAGGAAGCAGTTGTCAACACTGAGTATCTGTGGGGGTCAGCACTTGAACCAAAGAGGACGCTCCTGCTGGGTGTAAGTCGTTAATTAGCTGTTAATGAGAAGTTTTCATATTTCATACGCAAGGATATCCTTATTTGAAACCCGTTATCAGAAACATCTACTAAAAACTTAAATTTCACTTTTCTGGAGAGTGATGATGCTTGTTGTAAACCATATAGCGCCCTCTGCTAGTGAAGGAAAACTGCTAGTGTAATACAATGAAACTCAAATTAAATGCTATTTGATTGGTGAATAACTCCAGTAATAACTGCGATAAAGTTAGCCGATACTGATAGTCACTGTATATGCTAATATCGGCGGATATTATTGGCTGGTTGATAAATCGGTCAGACTCTAATTTTTGTCTTATTATTATTTATTATGATCATAAATCCTGAGTTACATGGTTTCACTTTTCCAGAGGGCTTTAACCAAACACTCTCCAGCTGGGTGATACAACATATTTAATTACAAACAATAAAGAGTGAAAGATGTTTGGCTCGAGCTCCACCTGTATTCATTTATTAAACTACTAGACCCTATAATAAAGTTGGACCACATTTTTAATTCAAGCATGTGGTTGTGTGTGTTTCCAGCGACCTTGATAACTCGAAGCCCTTTAAGAGGTCTCATATCCGCTGCTGCCGTGTTCCTCCGCCTCTCGTTGTGTTGTAAAAGTTCCCTCGTGTCTCTCCAAGGCCACACGTTTCACCAATTGACACATTTTTAACTGACCTATTTCTTTCCATTGAGAGCTGCTCCTTAACTCCACTTACTAAAGCCTGGCTTCAAATTACCCTTATCCCAGTCCTCCAGGGCTTTTTGGCTATCACACTTGTGGGATGTTCTTTCTGACAACCTAAATGGAAAATTACTAAATAACACTCCAATGTTTTTCCTTGCTTAGGAATTAAATCCATGATGATTTTTGCTTACTTGAGGATTCTGGTAGCTTGTGTCTCGTTTGGCAAGATTAAACTTGCCCATCTAAAAGCGATTATACCTTTCTTGTTGCAAAACACAAACCACTGCTTGAGTATTATATTTTTTTGCTTTGGGTGCTGATATTGTAAATTTAAGATTGAATTACTGGGTGGGTTGTTCCTTCGATGAGCGTGGGGGTCATCAGGTTCTGCAAAGATGCTGGAGGTCATCTTGTTCTTGCGCTGGGGGGTGCTGTTTTCATCTGTGCCGAGGGAGAAGCTCGAATCCCCACCTGGTGGTCGTAGTACCCTGGGGGGGGGGGACAAATTTACAATTATGATATTTTATTGACATCCTGCTACATCCTGCTTAGGCCGGATTAAAACACACCGCCTGTGTGTCACTGTGTCACTGCTAAAGCAAAAATCAATAGGCAAATATAACGTGAGGATGCCGCAAGCAACTTGCAGCCTCCTCGCGACTCCACCCTAAACCTTTTATAAACATACCAGTCTCTCAAAAACACACAGGCTAGCAGCAAGGTCTCTGCTCTAAGCCCCGGCTGTCAGCCTGTCAGACAGACAGTCACAATCTCTGCCCGGCAGCTGACTCCCCTCGCACATAATCACAGAGTTAGCTGGCTAGCTGCTGCCTCTATTCATACGGATTCCTTTGCGATGACACAAGGGAATGGTGTCAGTTCCTGGCAGCATTGTTGAACAATTAATAAATGAGTAAATTAAATATGACACCCCCTTTAGGTCAAAAAAAAGACAAAGGAGGGGGAAAGTCTGTGGTCCCGGCTAATGTAGGTCAGCTAATAAATGGACTTTTCTGGAACAATAAAGGAGACATGCAAGCAGACCAGTGCAATGCGAACAAAGCCCACTTTGCTCCGACATTCCTTCGGCCACAAGCTGAACAAAAGGAGCACGATAATGAGTGGGGAAACTCTTTTTCCTTGCCGTGCTGAAGGACAGACAAAAACTGATGTGTTTGCAGAGCCCCTGCCCTGGACCCCTCCCTCTTTTTCCCCCAGAAAACTCTCCTCTCCTCAGAGTCCCTGAAGCCACCAGCTGACACACTGAGCAGCTGTCCAAGGGCCAGGCGGGCAGATGGAGGCCAAAAAACAACCCAGCTCTAAAAAAGAAAGCAATAGAGGAGGGAACTCCTCTCTGCATGAACGGTACCGACATATATTTTCTCAATCAAAGCGTATATCTACACACGAGTGTCTGTCACACTTGGCTGTGACAGTAATGCTGAAAGCAGACTTCACCTCCCGGCCAGAGGGGATGAGCTCATGCTTTCCACGAGGATTGCAATGGGGGGAAAAGCTTTAAGCTGCCTGGCAGCAGACCCCACCCTAGAATGAAACTGCAAATAATATCAATAAAAAGGCTTTCATTTTCAGGAGCTGAGGGGGCAGCTGCAGGCAGGTGGAGCTCGGGAAGATACAGCAGAGCTCCACAGCCTCAAGATGGCATGTCTGATAAGGCAGGGTGGGAGGCTTTTGATGGCCTACTAAGATTTGAGCCTAATTCTGCTAAAGTTGCTGCTGTACCGGATCCCTTCGGTCGTCCAGGAGCAGAAATGACCAGCAGCTCGTAAAAACGGCTTTAAGGAGCAAATGCAAAGAGCTAAGGAAAGATTTACAGGCTTAGCTGGCTGAAAAGCCCCCACCCAAGCCCCCACAAGCATCATCAGAAAACAGCATGCGGCTTCAAAATGCTTAATGACTGACCGAGATTTGACTTGCTGACTCTGAAAAGGCTAATAGCCTCAGTTTTCCTGAAGAAAATCTGGATTATAACTCCTGAAATCAGTAGAGCAGCCTTCATTTAAAGTCATTATCCTTGCTTTTTTTTTTTTTTCTCCTGCAAAGGGGGCAGGAATGCATCCAGACGAGACGCATCACTTACTGGAAAGATATGACTGCATGCCTGGACCATGAGTGGCCCTCTCTCCAGTGCTTTAACATTTATATAGAGATACAATATACAGATGGAAAAAGGGATAAGGAAATGGAAAAAACCTTGAATTTGCTCTAGTCAACAATGAGCCATATCCCTCATTTCCTAAATGGCATTTGCAGAAAAAGATTGTCTCGTCTGGGATTCTTCCTCCAATCGATCACGCATTTGGACCACTGCTCTTGAGTTGTAAATTAGGTAATAATTTCTTGATAATAAACATTAAAATCTACATTTAGCTCAACATTAAGTACTGGATGTGTCATAATCGGCAACTTCAAACAGCAGCACATAGCCAATCACCGCAAGAGACGAGCTGTGAACTAATAAAAAAGTTATTTTGTAGCCGGGAGGTGAGTTAGCTGTAACCTGCAGATATGTGGAAAACATCCCTTCTGCCTTCTTCGTCTTCTTCTTCTTTTTATCTATTTTTAAACTCCTAATTGTTTGACGACGCCAACACGAGCCAAACAACGAACTTATCATCAGTCGCCCAATAAGATTAACTTAATTAGCAAGATGTGACAGTTGAGCTAAATCCAGAAAAATCCCCCGGCAGCCAGCAGCAGCAGCAGCAGCAGCAGCGGGCTGACGTCGGGCAGCAAGGCTGAAAAAAAGAGGCGTTTGCTCGCAGAGAGGCACTTCTTTGTTCCTCTGCGAGACGTTTTCAGCTCCTTTTCTTTTCTTTTTTTTACCTGGAACTGCTCTTAGCACCAGGCTCCATTCCCTTGAAGTTGGTTGTCGTCGTCATCTTTCTGGTGTCGTTTCGACGCAGCGGCAGGAACAAACAGTCTATGAGAAAGTAATAGAAAAGAAAAAGTCCTCCTCCTTCTTCCCCCGCAGAGATGCGACAGGATGCAGACTCCACCCGACACTGAAAAACATAACGAAGACCAGATCCGCTGGTTCTGCGGTGCCAGCCCACAAGACCCATCCCACCAGCGTTCGGCCCGCGCTGATTGGACAGCGTGTCGCAGAATTGCTCTCTCATTGGTCAGAACAGCACAGAACTCGACTCTCATTGGACAGAACCTGAGAGACAGGCTCTCTTGTTGATGGCAGGTCTTTGGCTTCATGTCAATGATCACACAGAGTGGAGTCCACATCCCCGAGGCCTTGTTTCTCCAATCAAATGTGTTTGCATTGATCACGGGAGTTTGCAAAATGTTATTTTCCTTTCATGTGAATGTAGAAACGTGACATCCAGCTGCTGAAGACTTTGTGACTATTTCCTTCAGTCTTAAAATAAAGTAGGTTACCATCTGGAGTCTTGCACGTTTCAAAGTAAATGCTCATAACAGTGATGTCAGCTTGGAGAAAATAGGGGATGAAGTTCGACATCCAGCAGCTGAAGATATGTAGACTATAACCCAAAGCAGTGGTTCTCAACCTGGGGTCTGGGCCCTCCTAGAGGGGACACCTGAGATGTCAGCAGGTGGACGAGGCTCTGTCTGCTCGGAGGTTGTCAAAATTAGATTTGCACATATTAAATAAAATGTTAAAACATTACTTCTTCCATCCAACTTCTTCTGCTTATCTGAAGTCAGGTCGCAGATGTCAGCAAGCGCATTAAGTCAACCCAGACTTCCTTCTCCCCAGCTCCTCCTGTGTTTACAAACCAGACGGGAACTCTGGATCTGGTCCGGGGTCACCTCCCACTTGGGCGTGCCCGAAAACCTCCGAAGGCAGGCGTCCACCAGGAGGCATCCTTATCAGATGCCTGTACCACCTCAGCTGACTCCTTTTGATGTGAAGGAGCAGCGGCTCTACTCCGACCTGTCCCTGAATGTCCGAGCTCCTCACCCTGAGCCCAGCCACCCTCCGGAGGAAACTGCTTTCGGCCGCTTGTATCCACGATCACATTCTTTCAGTCACTACCCACAGCTCATGACCACAGGTGAGGGACGGAGCAAAGATCGACCGGTAAATCGAGAGTTTGCCTTCGATGGTTAAAACATTACTGGGACATTTATATAAAGGTCTTTTGGTAAGAACAAGTGTGTAGGCATATTCTGAGGGGGGCTCCAAGGACAAATGGTTGGGAACCCCTGATCTAAAGATTTAATCAAAATGAGGCTGATATCTAACCCTAACCCTAACCCTCGTTATAAATCATCAAACTCATATGACTTGTATTCCTGTGCAGAAAAAAGGTCATACACTGTCACATTAGAAAGCCAGACAAAACGAGTGGAAGTTTGGAAAAAGACAATAGCTTTATTTTTAACAGGCATCTCAATAGATAATACAGATGTTTACTTAACTGGAACATCTCGACATCTCGGCTTCCCAAAAAATTTGAAGCTCTGCCTAGTCAAAAGATTATTCAAAACATTTCCCTACACATCCATTACTATATAAAAATGTATAAAATCAAATAACTTTGACAGACAAATGACAATCTAGACCCATTCCCTAACTGGGTATAGCGCTCACAAAAGTGATGGCCAGTCCCAAAATAGTACACTTTAAGAATAGATTTACTGGACATTGAACGAGCATAGCCCAATGACATTTGATCAGTGATGTCAGTTTTATTAATTCTCCCTCCGACAGTCGTCGTCCTTTCTGTCTACAACCGTAGAAAAAGCTCTACAAATCGGGGAAAGCTAAGTCATTAAAATTCAACACAATTCATTCAGCATAAAAACACAAAACCTGAATGTATGTGGGGGGGGTATGGATGTTGTTTATGTACAAAAAAACAGAAAAGGATCAAGGGCAAGGATGAAGATAATATACAGCAGTTGTGTGTAGCAGAGAAGTGAAAACTTCTTCTGCGTGAAGTTCTGTTGAGACATCAGGGCGAGTTGCAACGGACGCAGCTGCTGAGTGACTGACGGGGGAAGGTTTGCTGTGAAGTGTGATGCATGAGGTCGATTAAATCAGGCCTCCCGTCTGTTGCTGAAACACATCAATTGTGTCTTCATCTTCCATTTCCAACTGTGGAGGATAAAGAAACACTTTAGTTTACATGGTACAGATTACAAGTGGGTTCAGATGACCTGTAACGGGTATGTCATTAACTGATATTCCTGATTTTTTTTAATCCATGACTTATCTTGAAGGTCAGGATCTCGTCTCAGAATTAAAATAATTTTTTCTCGGTCTTGGACTACTGTAGGTCGACTCCTTATTTTAAATCAAGACCAGTTAAGACCACCACTTATGGGCTGTTTTTCCACGTCATCACTGTGATTAGAAGGAAAATGCGTCTTTCTAAAACAACAAATATTTTTTATTTATTCATAATTTCATCCCCCCCCCAATTACAGCCACAACCTTCCTGGTGTTAAGGTCTAAGTGAGTGACACGCCCGCTACACACTAGATGATGATTTTTCAGGGATATTTATGTTGTTGGTCCTAACTCGGTCTGGATCCCTAAATGTCTTGGTCCACTCTGGTCTCGGGTATCTCTCGGTCCTGGTAAGTGTGGTCTTGACTAAAACACTACTGTGTCCTTATGGAGATAAAGTCAAAGTAGTAACTTAACGTTTGACCTGCTTTGCACATAGACATGGAGAGTTTTTCTTTTCTTTTGTTTGTTCCCGCTCATCTCCTGTTTATTTGTTATTTGTTATTTGATGCAAGACGAGAGCACCACGACCCACAGCTCTGTTGACAAATGAGACTCCTCGCAGCGTTTAAACCGGACGAGCGAGTCGAGGAGGAGAGGTGAGAGGAACATAACGAACACTAACAAACACACGAGTCATTGAACTTTCCGTAACTGTGAGTGTCTGCTTCAAAGAGTCCGATCTGCTGCGGGATCTTTCACGTTTCATCAGTTAGTTTAATGTTAGCTTCGTTAGCAGAAAGGGCATGACGTCAGTCCCACCAGCCTGCTTCAATCTGTGCATGACTTGGCCCCAAATTACTTATCCAGTGTAATAAGTCAGCGCGTGCCACAGGGGTGTTCTGGCTTCACTTTTGTGTGCTTTTGAGTGCTGTCCGTATATATATATATATATATACGGTCATTTGTGTATGCATGTGTGTAAGTCATTCATAATCCCTCAGGTTGTGCAAGATGTGACCCGCCTCCTTCATTGAGAAAAAAATGGAATGTGCAAAAACTTTCTTACTTCGATTGCTATGATCCCTCGTTTCTTTCTTCTTCTGGTTTCCAGTTTGGTGTTACTGTGTCTGAAATTGGTTTGGATCTACTACTACTCTCTCTTGACCGGAGATATTCTGCCAGTTCATCACTTTTTAGACCAGATCATCCACTTTGGCTTTAAGGTTCCTCTTCCCATTGTCCCCAGTAAGTTTCTTTTACATTTAAAGTTTAGTTTCACTGTTGGACAGTTTCGTTGTTGCGAGGGTGGTCAGAGGGTGGTCTCAGAAGGGGCAATTAGCCGCAGCATCGACTGACATCGGGGACACTTTTCTGGGCTCAGCTTTGCAGTCTTTGAGGGTTTTGGAACGACGGGAGTCCCAGGGGCTGGATTAAAGATGCTTTTAATAAATGAATGGTCTCTTTTAAATGGTAATCAGTGGGTAATTCTGCTCTACATGCTTTTGTTGTTGTTTTTCTGCATTCTGCATGTTAAGACTCTTTTTCATATTTTAGTCCCAGTGGGCCCCAAACTTTATAAATGTGTGGCAGAATTTTGAAGGAGATCTACCTTAAAGGAGATCGGCCTTAAAGAGACAGCAGCTGAAATGAAGCGTTTCAGGCAGAGGCTGAAATGTGGGATATTACTGACACCAGTGTCAGACAGATAAGGAGGTTTTTGAGCTACACATCTCACAACGCTGCTCAAAAGGTGTCCCAAAGTGACATCATTAATGGTGAAAGTGAGGATAATAGATCTGCCAGATTAGAACAGGGATTTGTAAATGAGCTCACGGACTCTCCTACCTACACTGCTGACTGTGGGTCGATCTCCTCTATATTTAACTGTTGGATTGTTTAGTCTGTGACAACGTTTATGCCCTACTATTGCACATAAGACGTGGACGTGGTGGGGAGATTTTTAGTTCTGTGTTCATCCCTTCATCCCTTCATCATGTGTGTCAAATTGTATTAAGACCTGCCATCAACTAGAGTGCCTGTCTCTCAGGTTCTGTCCAATGAGAGTCCAGTTCTGTGCTATTCTGACCAATGAGAGAATTTGAGAGCAGTCCATGAAGGTGCATACAAAAAAAAACATGAAATCCTTACTTTTAATAAATATACAGTAAGCTAAACTATATCAGAACATGTCCTGATGCATTTAGGAACATGTAAAACATGTTTGAGGCCGCTATAAATCCCCAGGCACACACTCTATTCCTTTGGTTTATATTTTATAACTGAATTTCTTTTTGTACATTTTCTTCGAATAAAAGCTTCTTGGTCTGATTTGGGAGCTGAAGCCAACCTTTCAAACCTTCAGACTTACCTGTGATGGCGTGTCTGTCTCGTTTATGGGCTGTCCATCGAATCTGAACCTGATTTGTCTCATTTGAAGTCCCTGTAGAGACAAACACATAAAAACCTTCGATGTCAATCAAACCATACAGAACTCATTTGTTACCACACTCAGCATCTTTTTAGTTATTTATCTTTCGGACCTTTTTGCCTTTATTGGATAGGACAGCTGAAGAGAGACAGGAAATGTTTGGAGTAGAGAGAGGGGGGAAGGACATGCAGCAAAGACCCGAGGTCAGATTTGAACCCACGGTCTCTAGCCTCTGTACATGGGGCGCCCGATGTAACAAAGCCCTTCAGTGTCCGTCAGAAGAACAATAAATAAGAGTTATACTTTGTGTTACAGAAGGAAAAAAACACAACCATGTAATAAAACTAGTGTGACAGGAACACACACAAATACTCTTAAATCACATTTTCTTCCTCTAATGCACTTTATTTTTTACTGCTGCACTCGAAGTGAATGACTTATTACTGAACTATAATTGTGTTCTTTTTTATTTGTTGTGTCATTTCTTTACTGCTGGTTTCATTGCACATTGATTTATCATGTCTTCAACATGAACATCACCCCCCCTCATGCTAGACTACATTATTATTACTACTGGGGGAGGCAGCATCTCAGTCTGCAGGGACTTGGGTTGGAAACTGGAGATGAATGACTAAAGATGTCTGAGTTTGGCAAATCAGCCATCTCTATTAGAGCTACACATCAAACCGAGTAAAATCAGAGAGTGCTGTAGCTTTGCTGAATTTAATTCTGAGATCAAATCAAAAAAAAAAAAGACCCAGCTCTTTCCTGAATACCTACTAACTTAATGATGATGGTCTCCATATTATTGATGATGATGATGGTAATGACGATGGTTTTTGTTTGATAAGATGGTTTCTATACTGATTAGAGCTCTCAAGAACTGCCGTCAATGTTGTGCTTTGCCTCTGGTCACTTCCTGTCAGCACCTGTGTGTCCAATCGGACTCAAAGCTGATCGTTTGCTCTTACTGACATTGTTCCCTTTTTTCTAGATCCTTGCTTGTGTTGTACTTACTCTCTGATGTACGTCGCTTTGGATAAAATCGTCTGCTAAGTGAATTGTAGGATTGTAGAATCATGACTCAAATCTACTCGATCATGTCCTCATCACACATAAACACATGACATTTGTCTAATGTAGTGTATCGATGTGTTATTATGGTATTGATGTGTTGCTTTGGGATACATGATGCGGTATAGCTGTTTTTGTAGTGTAGTTTGTGTTCTGATGTTCGTGGGTCACAGGGAAAGAGTGTACCGTCTCTGCAGTGAAACAGGAATAAAGGAATAATGAAAAACATCTGCCTCGTGCTGTAGTTTTTTTTAAATGAGCTGCATGACGAACATCTCTGATTTGACCTGCTCTGCTCTCCTTTCTTTTCTTCCAGAGAGTTGAAAGCTCATTTGACTTTCAGATCCAGAGGAATGTCAGAGGTTGCCTTTCTTTCCACTTGTCCTCTCTTTTGTTTTCACAGTAGACACAGACACTCGTGGATGTGGACGTTGTTGTCACGCCTCAGGATGTGTCTGAACAGTTCAGCTTTAAGAACACAACTGGCACTCGTCCCGATGTAAACTCATATGAATACGTTAAAAGAATACGTCAGCATTCCTGCATCCCGTTGAAGGACGACTTCAGACGTGATTTCGCTTGTAACTGCTGATGGAAAAGACGAGATATGCTCTGTAATTAACACGTGGAATCACAGATGAGGAAGATAAGGAGGTTTGGTTTTTGGGTGACGAGAGAGATGTAAGCTTCTGCAGCTGAAGGGAGATTTACATCCAGACTCTAAACGCACCGGAGCCAAGACATCAGAGAGATAGCGCCCAGCTGGATCACAGCCAGTAAACAGTGAACTGTAACTCTCTCAGGGGATTGATTGATAATGTGACCGTGAGGAATTATTCTTTAATGAGCGTCATGTGACTTTTATTTCACGTTTGAACTTTTGGCTTCCTGCAATCGCCCGTCTCTTAATGTCACATAAAAATTCACTTTTGTACCACATATCCTCAGAGGACAAGGACTTTTACATTTCCCAGCCATAACATTGCATTATTTAGAACCCTGTAAAACTAAATCTCAAATTACCAGCTACTAAGTGCCTGTTTCACGAGTGCAAAGGGCTGAAAATGACTCTCATCACAGCCTATTTGTCTTCCAACGAGAATAAACATGTGCATACTTCAAAACTGTTGCCTGAAAGCATCAAGTAATAATAGTTATTTTGATGTGTGTGCAGCACAACTTCACACAAACACATCTACACATTGCACTGCATCGTTGAATGAGGACTACTGTTTTAGTATTAAGAAAATATTCAGGCCTCTGTCTGCTCGACTAGAGAAGAAATATTCCTCATTGAGAGGACTTTTCAGTGGCTAACATTTCGACATGTTCCAGCAGGAAAAGCTCTGCTGTAAGTAATGATGTTCACAATGGTTGACTTATATTCAGGTAGGTGTGCAGGTTCAGGTATCGTGCTGATGGCTGAATGGGGATTTCACCAACGTCTGTGTGGATGTCAAATCAGTGATAGAAGAAAATGTATACAATTGAAGCGATGCATTCCTCAGTGGGTGCATCACAGGCTGAGAAAGCAAGCAGAGCCTACATGTACCATAATGCATTGTGCATGAGCTTCTGCAGCTCAGCCTCGCTTCACGGCCTCCCTGCATCTGTTGACTCGGCCTGAAAGAAACAAGGCTGAACATCCCCGTCTGCCAAAACTCTGTCGAACGATTCCTTGACTAGTGATTCATCTGCGCTCAAATCCCACGGGATGTTTTTATTTTTTCCTGTTTCCTGTTTTTTAGATAGTTTGCGATGAAGAAGAGGCAGGAACTAGAAGTCCAGCTGAATAAGGCCTGTAGTTCTTTAAGACCTCTGACTAGTTTGATGCATCTAGAGGACAAAGGATAAAGGAGGAGGAGAGGATAAAGTCTACACCCTCTCTAGTCGGCACCAGCATTACTAGTAACCGGTTAAACTAATTAATAATACTTATTATTAGTCATGCCCGTAATGACAGTTAAATGTTGACTCTAAGGTGTAATGCAGCCAATGGCCACCAGCTGGGGCTGTAGCTCCGGTTACTGGCTAACTACCGCTCTTCTCTACTACCTGAATGTAAACCAGCACAGTAGACAGCTGGCATCTTGCAGCTCCGACCGGTTTGGCAATTATTTGATCTTAGAAAATGAAGATAAAGTTGCATGTAGGCGGTGTCCGGTTAAACTGGTATATCGACTGGAGAGATATGTAACCACATTCAGTACAACGAGGACCGCAGACCGGATGTGTTATGTCTGTGTTACTTCAAACCAATTTGTCATAATTTACCCGTAGATGCTGAGATCCTGTGTTTAATACACAAGTGTCTTCTTAACGTTAGACTAGTTAACTAGTCTGATTTGAAATATGCGTTTAATCGACTTTTAAATTAGTGGCCGGGGAGCATCCCTGTGGCCTGCTAACATTTAAAAAATCAAAGCTATCCTTCTTTGAATCGTTCCCTTATTAACAAGTATTATCAGTTTTTTCTACATTACATTAGTACACACCCTGTAATAAACAAACCCTGAAGTTTATGGGACCTCTGCTCCTAATCTACGCAGATATTAAGCTCCACCCACCTGTCTCTCGCAGTAGGCTTTCATGAGCTTGATGAGCGGAGTGTGTCTTTTGATCTTAAACTGCACCACTGATCCATCCTGACCCGCCACCTTCAGGTTTATGTGTTCGTTGTTTTCTGTCTTGACTCCCTCCTGCAAGATAAAGTCAGAGAAGAGAGACAGTTAACGTAGGCAGAGAGGAAAACAGAGCTGACCTCAAAGTGAGTGAACGACTCCACAATACTTTGTACGTCTCTTTATGGTCTTACACCAGGCAAAGTGTTGGAGCTGAGGGGGGCCTTAAGCCTCCTGACTAACAGCTACAACGCCCCTGCTTGTAGTTAGATCAGTCGCGCTTAATTATGCATAACTCTCGTATCCCTGATAAAATAAAAAACAGATGAGCAATAAAACTAAATCACCCTCAAACAGTGCGTGCCAGTTAAGACTAACTATCCTTTCCAACAATGTTTTTGTTTAATAGGCTGAATACAAGTTAGTTTTGCTGTCAAAATGGGGATTGTAACATGGCTCTGTATGAAACCTCCAGGCTTTTGGAGCCAGCTTCAAGTGGACACTCGAGGAGCTGCAGTTTTTGCGCTTCATTTTTTAACTCTGGAGGATGCCGCTTGAGTTTTAAACAAATCGTAAGGGTTTGTTAATAGGAAGGTCAAAACATTGCAAAATTTGACTAATAAAATCCAGATATGAAAATGAAGAGCAGGTTTATGTTGCTGAGCTGATAATGTGTCTTACTTTCAGACCTGTGCCTCCAATCACCAGTTTAGGTAGGCTATATGTTGGTTCTCATCATAGATGTCTTCACACTTAAAATCCTTCCTCAGTCATCCATTTCACTTCATTTACGTTATAATTCTGTGTCTCTAAAGTTGGGCACTGCCTGCTGTAAGCACAGATACACTGAGATAAATTCAGCACTGGTAGTGGCATAAACAAATGATGACTGCTGAGTGCACAAACTTTCTCCCACTTGCAGGAATGTAAACACACATGATGTTTTCACAGTTGAATCCATCCATTCCCCTGACACTGATAAGCTGAAGCATGCACTCAGGATGGCTCCAGCTGAGTGTGATCAAGCAGAAAGCGACCTGCGCGCCTATGGATGCGCGTTCACAAACCTTCCGGTCTATCAGAGTAGGTATAGCTGGTAGTTAAAATTTAGCTCTCAACTTTAAAAAAGGTGAGACAAATCGCAGGAATTCTCCGTTTTTACGTGAGTCACTGTCTTACAAAACCAGTTAAATAATTTGGTTAATTGACACAATGTAGAAAAACACTCACCTTTGGTTTTTCATCTGCCATGGTCACTCTTTTGGCGCTTCTCTACGCTGCCACACAAAGAACACGTGTGCGCGCACGTACTCGTTCCCGATTAAATTATGCGAACCGAACGTGCGCGTCCACGAGCCGATGCGCGTCCACAGTATTTTGATTTGAATGGATGCAGGCGGTCACGTGGATGAAAGCGCGGTCTGGGCATGGGCGGGAGAGTCTCAATGCGCGTGACAGAGGCAGCAAGAAGCACATGAACGCGCACTCAGACGTCCTCCCTTTTGTTGTCATGTTTTTAAATGTTTAACTAAACAACAGCTTCTACTTCATCACACTGTTTGATGAAATACACACTGTACGATACAATCCTCCTCAGCATACTGTTCACGACACCACAGGACAGTTAGTATTAACATGTTTTCAGTTTCTCATCTTTAACCCTTTATATTCCAGCGGCCATCTTGTTTTTCTGTCAGAAGAAGAACCACATGAAACATAAAAGATAGAAACATGTACATCTAACAACAGGGCGTATTATTATTAAAAGCATTGCTATTTGACTTAAATCAGTCAAATATGTTTAAAAAATATGTTTGTAAATTCATAGCAGAAAATATTCTTAATTTATGTGAACCCCTCGAGGGTTTTACAGTCATACGACCTGTGTTATGTGATATTGTATGTATAATCTGTCTTTATAGTCTGTGTTTCCTGTTAAAAACAACAACGCCCGGCTGTGAGTTATTATTTACAGCCTATGAGCCGAAACACAGAAAGATGGAAAAACAGGCAAGAAGAAGGGCGGCCTTTCCATGACGTCATCACGCCGGCGTCGAAAAGGGGCTTGAATGAGTGAGGCGCGTAAGCAGCGGCAGCGGCAGCAGCATCGCACCTGTAGTTCATGGCGTGAAGCGTTTCCAGCCGAACAGTCAATCAATTCATAATTTAATCGTATTCGACATAATTATCCCCGATGGAGGAGGTGGACGTCGAGCCGGCTATCACCGTAAGTGACCTCTGAAGTGAAGCTTTCACGTGTTTTCTCCAACTTAAAGCTAATCATTGCTAACAGGCTAACTACAGAGTATATAACATACAGTATATAAAAAGTCATAAATAAATACAGTGAAGATTAATAAAGTGAATGTGTCTCTAAACATGTCACAACTGTCTAAGCAGTAGAAACACATTAGATAACGAGAGTATATTAAACTACTATATTTACTGACTTATTCAAGAGAAATGTAACTTCATTGTTTTTGTTTTTATGTCGTTTATTCTATTTTATTTGTTTGGATGATCCCCTAGTGTTTGTCATATTGTCTAACTTTTTATGAATTAGTGTTTTCTTTTATTGCACCCTTTAGTTTTGTCAGAATGGCTTTTTATTTAGTTTTACTGGATTAGCGTTATTGGGCAAGTCAGGTGTGTTTATGTAGAAGATTTCAGCAACAAGGTCATTCAAAGTTTACTTCACAACAAGACATCAAAAGCTTCAAGACAACGGGACTTTTACAAAATCACTCAAACAAATCATTAACAATCACAGAGGAGATAAATATGAAAAATGTTTAAAAATCAGATCCTAAAGAAATATGACATTGAGTAAAAATAAGAGATGGATAATGTCCGTGTAATGACCTGGTTCCTCTTCTTTTGATGCAGAACATCCCTGCTGCCAGTGATGGGAAGCATTTGGGATTTGCATGGGGTCCTGGTGATATCCTTACCTACGAGACCCTGTACCCCTATGCTTCCTCAGGTATGTGCAGCTCATGCGTTCTGTTGCACAGATATCCAAACAAGCCTCTGCATTTTCACTCTCTTCCTTATTGTAATCATTTGATCTGCTTTTTTCTCCCTCCATCATTAGGAGTTAGAGGATCAGGCAGCTTATACATCCATGAGGTCAGGAAAGACGAGGACATTTACTCCCCCATTCTACGCAAACTCTTCAATGAGTCACATCACATCTTTGTCGGCCTGCAGATAATAAGAGAGGACCTCCCCAGCAAGAACAAAAAACCTCAGTAAGACCGCCTGATGGATAAGATCTCTGCTCCTTTGCATGTCACCGTAAAAGTTTTCAGGTGTAAACATTTACAGCTACAAAAGGAACTAAAACACTCACATAAATGATCTCATATCAGCAAATTGTTGTTGTCTTGCTCTTTAGATTTGTCAGCATCAGTAAAAACTATCGATCTGTGATACGAGCCTGCATGGAGGAGCTTCAACAAGCTGCTGGTAAGAATTATTTTCTGTTATAATTTGATTTTGAATTATCATTTCATTACTGAGGGATAATCAAATTGACCTGCTTCTTTTTTCCCCCCCGCAGTTTCTACAAAAGTTGCAGATGTGGCGACACAATATGGAAATCAGGTACGTCCTTCTACTGTATGTGCATCTCTGCCACAACGTTACAACTGTACAGGAAACATAGACTCACAAAGGAGGCCGTCTGCGTATATGTTATATAAGAAACAGTTCAGTGTTTATATCTATTTATTTAAGTTGAATATGTTGCGTTTTATATTTACATAGAATTAGAACATTTTAAAAGTTCACAGGCATTGAGCTTTAAAACACCGTCATAATCTTCCTACATGGTGCATTAGACAAAAACAAACGTATAGAGCAGCAAACAGGAACTTAACACATAAAGAACAAAAGGAGTCTTGATGGAGTAAATTCTTATTGAATCATAGGAAGGATGAACAGATGGAAACATTATGGATGCAGATGTTTTAGTCCCTCTGTGACTTTCTTCAGTCTTTCCCTGCTGCGCCTCTAAATGTGAACATTTTAATGGACTGATTCATGATGCTTCATATTAAGGGGCTACTGCAGAGGATATCAGTTTTTTATTCATATAGTTCTAACCTTTTTTTCTGTTCTGATGCGACAGGTGTCGATTCTGTTGGCCATAGAGCTGATCTGGAATCTGTGTGAAGTGCTGTTCATCGATGCCGCTCCAGGTTAGAGTTACCTGTAGTTAATCTATCTCACATTTAATAACTTGATTTGAGTTTTGGTAAGAATCCGAAACAACAAGTCAGCATCGTAAGTGTCTGTGTGTGTGTTTCTGTGCCTTCAGCGGGGTCCCTGTTGCTCCACCTCCTGGACTGGGTAAGGTTGCACAAGGCGGATGTGGATGAAAAGGCCAGAGAAGTGCTGCAAAGTGAGAGCCCTGCTGAACACCGCGACTACTGGGATGTGGTATGTTCTGCACACACACACTGGGCACACACAAGCTACAGCACATCTAGCCCTGACTAAGCAGACGTTTGTTTTCTGTTACAAAGCAACAACAAAGACTCTTCTGCATTTAGCTCTACATGTTCTTGTCTGACATCGAGCACAGCGTCAAATGTTAGTTCTGAAATGTTTGGTGTGTGCTCTGTGCAGGTGGTGAGTTATGTGCTGCAGGGCAGGTTGGAGGAGGCCAGGCAGATGCTGGTGAAGCAGGCCACCCTGCACCCTGCAGCCAGGAACATGTTCAAGCTGATGGACACTCTGCTCAGCAAGATGCCCTTCTACAACGTAAGATCATCTATTAATGGTTCATCTCATTTTGTAGCTTCAGGTATGTTGATGATTGTATCTTCTCAATGGATTTGTTTTTATTGAAAAGAGGAAAGGGACATAAAAAGTACTTGGCTTTTTTGTGCAGCTTTATGTAGCTTTTTAACAGTTCATTCTGTAGTTTCAGAAAACTAGAGATGACTGCTGCAAGATTTGAAATGCTGCAGCTGCACCATTATGCAGTTTATGGTGTTGACACCAACTTTGATTTGAAACATTCTCTTGGTGTAATAGTGTCCCTAGAATAAGAGACTTCCTATGTTAAGGAGGTCTGCTGTACCAGAGCTTCAAAAGAAAGTTGTCTACTGTAATTGAAGAGTTTAAGGTGCTATTTTCACACAAACAAACAAACAAACCTATGTATATGGTTTATGCTCCGTCTCTCACATCATGGTTAACATACACAGCTTAGTGCTAAAGTGCTAAAATATAACACAGGGTATATTTTTGTACAAGCCTGGTCAAATATCTGCCAATAAAACAACAAAACGAGGCGTGCATCAGTGACATGTTTGTAATCCTTCAGCCCGGTGGCACCCAGACGCTCACAGAGTTTGATGTGAAGTGGAGACACTGGCACGAGGAGGTGGACCGCTGCCTGCAGGACAACTCGTTCGCCAGCAACCCACACCTGGAGCTCATCTGCAAGGTCTGTGACCCTTTGCCCTCAGTAGCCGTAACCATCGTCCGTTTACTTCTTACCTTACCTGATTCTGTTCTCCTTGTTTTAGATCCTAGTGGGTGATGAAGACACTCTGCTGGAGCACAAGGGACTTCTGAGCACCTGGTACCACTTCCTGGTCACCAGACTGCTCTTCTGTCACCCCACAGTCAAACCTACTGAGCTACACTTCTATGCACAGGTACACTACCATAAAAGCTGCTGCAACACTCACACTTCCTACTCAGTGCTACAAAAATCCTGTTGATTGATCTTTTGTGTGTGTGTGTGTGGGTACTTACTGCAGTCATGCATGACGATGTTCTTGGACATGAGCCCAGAGCCCCTGGACAGCATCTTACTGGCTGCCTTTGAGTTCGACATCCATCAGGTCATCAAGGACTGCAGGTAATACCTTTTTAATAAAAACTATAGAGTGTCTACAAGCTACATACTGTACATGTTTATGACGACAGTCTGCTACTCCTCCAACACTTCATCTCCTTATGTCTCCACCCTGCGTCTCCTCAGCATCGCTCTCAACAACTGGTGGTTTGTGGCCCATTTGACGGATCTGTTGGATCACTGTAAACTCCTCCAGTCCCACAATCTGCAGTAAGGACTCGGTTTGGCTGCTTTTGTAATTCTAATCAGAAAATAACTTTAAGATTAATCTCTTAAAATAATCTCTGTGGTGTTTTTGTTTTCAGCTTTGGCTCCAACTTGAGAGAGTTTCTCCTCTTAGAATATGCTTCTGGTCTCTTCACTCATCACAGGTTTGGTCATCTTAACTTAATATGAAACATGATTATGTTTTAGGATTTATTTGTAAGGTTTTCTTTAACCTGAGGTATTCAAACTTTTTGCA